GCCCATGCAGTAATTATCCAATAGGAGGCTCGTACCTATTTGCTTAGTTGAATCCAGGTGGCGACTTTTTTTTTTTTGGCCTACTTGTTGATGGCATTAAGATTATTTCTAAGAGCATTAAAAGAGGATTAAAAAAGCATTAAATAAGAGTTACTCATTCATTTATAAACCTTTACTGGGTAAAGTCAATTTATAAAGCTCTGTTCACAGTTTAAAACTCACCAACTACTTCACAAAGATAAATAGATTCATCAAACTGAAACCAAGTCATGTTTAAGGTTCCCATCAGGGTCTCCGTGGCGCCGGTTTCTACCTCCGACAGTCTTTGGGCGTAATGGGGGGTACACCCTGGACAGGTCGCTGGTCTGTCGCAGAGCTGAAACATCTCTTTACATAAAAAAGAAAAAAACAAAGCCTTAATAATATTTTACATTCTTTACTATTTCATCTTTAAAAGCGTCAACAAACCTTTGCAAAGAGCTTTTTGGGTATAAATAGTAAGAAATACAGACAAATACAGTAAATACTCTTTTTTTCTGCACATTGTCACTCTAGCATCCTTTGTTAATTGTTTTGGATTCCTAGAAACATTAAGTTTTTCTCTCGTTTTTTTTATTTTTTATTTTTTTATTGAACTATGGTAGATTGCAGGGTAAATGAAAAGAAGCTTTCAGATAGAAAAGGCTGCAAGAAATCCTCCTCTCCTTAGCTGCTCCATCAGTCACACTTTCAGGAGAATATTTACATTGGTCCTCTTTATTATTATTTTTGAACTACAAGAACATATGTTGCAGATTTCTTTTCTGCAAAAAAATAAACCCTCAGCGAGTTTCAGTGAGTCTATTTTACCCTCCTCTATTAGTCATAAATACAAGTTTACAGCCCTTATAAAAAGAAATGCTTTTTCCATAAACAGTATTTATAAATCAACAGGATTGTACATACTTCTGTACACTTATTTAAAGAACAAATAATAATATCCAGAAGAAATCATCATCTACACAGTATGCGGAAAATTTCTAATAAATACAAGAAAAAACAGATTATTAAAAAGAAAAAAAAAAGATTGTCAGAAATAGAATTTTACAGAAATGTAATACCAGACATTTTCTCTTCTCTCCAAACTTATAAAGCACAACTTGAAAGGATGTCAAGACAAGGGGCCCTTATTAGACTGTTAATAACAAACATCAAACACTCACATGCGAGGTGAACTTGTGAATCAATACTGGAACAATAAGGAAATTAAGAGGAAATATGAGCATTAAAAGATAAAAGTCTGATTTAATTTTTTTGTAACTGGACATATTAACCTGAACGTACCTCTGATTACATCTGGTGAAAAAAATAAACCCAAAGCAGTGAAATATCTGAGTTTAATCTGCAAACCAAAGAGGATCATCTCTGAAGTGAGATTTTTTTAACTACAATAAAAATATGAAATATTGACTGTATTAAAGAAAACCCCTTTTTTTTCTGCCGTTTTATCAAATAAGAAAAATAACATTTCTATGACTTCATAGAACATTTGAAAGAATAGGAGAAAAAAACCCAGTAAAGATTTGCCCCATTTATCTGTTTTAAATTATTACCGTATTAACAATAGCAGTAGTTAACAAAATAGTCTGGCGCCCCCTATGGGAGGCCCTGTGTAATTACAATACATTTTAATAATTGACCCATATTAAGAAGTATTTAACAATATTGATTGCAATGGTAAATGCTGTGACAAATTAAAATAAACGGTCAAATATTAAAGTAATTTCACTTTATTTATTTTTTATCTATAAGGTTGAATTTTCTATGCTGAACTGTTGCAGAGGTTTGGGGGATGATGGGGGTGGGGGCATGAAACTTTGAAATACGATTTAGTCAAAAAACAAAAAAAAACAAATCAACTTTGTTGTTTTCTCAAATTAATTTTTTCCACATATTTTAAAAAATATATATTTTCATAAATGTTATATTTCGAATTTTACTTTTTTTCAATTTCTGCTTTTCAGATTAAGTATTAAGAATTTGACTCTTTTATAGTTAGTTTT